TTCTTAAGTCCTCCATCTGTTGGACAAGGCCTACTCACATTATGGAGGTAATCTGCTTTACTTAAAGTCTCTGATTTCAGCTTTATTCACATCTAAAAAAATACCTTCTCAGCCACAACTAGATTGGGGTTTGGCCAAAAACTGGGTGCCATGGCCTGATCAAGTTGACACATAGACCGTCACAGCCACCTGTCAACAGGTTCCTTAACCTTCTGAGCCTCAGTTTCCTTGCCTATAAAGTGGAAGTAAGAAGAGCTAACTGAAGGGTTGTTTTGAGGCTGACATGAGATTAATGGGTGTAAAGTGCCCAGTAGGATGCAGATGCCTGGCACACAGTAGGCGTGCAATAAATAAAAAGAAAGTATTGGTACAACACACAGCCTTTGCAGGCAAGTCAGGTTCAGGTTTAGTTTCAAGTCCCACTCCCATGATGTATTAGGCAGGTGACCCTGGTGGATTCCTTAACCTCAACAAGCCTCAGTTTCCTTCACATAATAGTAATTACTGTCCTCCAAGGTGACAACAAATGATACAAACATAAAGATATTAACATACTTGGCACTCAGTACGGGCTTGATAAATTTTGCCTCTTCCGTCTGGGCAACATAGAGAGACCTTGTCTCTACAAAAACTCAAAAAATGATCCAAGTGTGGTGGCATACACCTATAGTCCCAACTACTCAAGAGGCTAAGGCAGGAGGATCACCTGAGCCCAGGAGGTTAAAGCTGCGGTGAGGCCTGATTATGCCACTGCACTGTAGCCTGGGAGACAGAGTGAAACCCCGATTCAAAAACAAGCAAGCAAAACTGTCTCTTTTCCTTCTCCTCTCCCAGTGGAGGCAGGCCCTTCGTAGATGTTTGGAAGGCCAGGTGAGTAGGCCAGGCAGGGTGTCCCTCTAGAGGACATTCAGAGGCAGATCAGGGACAGGATGACAGGCCTTTCCTGCGAGTAGAAGGGAGGCCGAAGGGAGTGGGAGGCTGGCCTTGGTGAGGGGCCCCCTACACTGGGCTGTGGGAGAGAGCTGTGCAGGCAGACGGCCCTGGGACAGCAGCTGGCCTCTCTTTATAGCATGCCAGGGTCGCCGAGGCAGGGGCTCCCGCTGTGGAGGAGGGCCCCTTGGAGCCCCAGCTCCTTCTTGATCAGGGCCCGCTTACCCCTACCTCTAACCAGGAGGTCATAGCAGGGGAGGTGGTGGGACCTTCAGAGCCTGCCCCAGAGTGGGCAGAGTTCTGCCATCATTTTGGGTGAGATGTGGTCGTGATTTGGGAGTAAACCTTTAAGCCAGGTGGTCGACCAGGAGGACATAGAACTGTGTCTTTGGAAGACCCACCCACAAACTGCCATCACTTCAGGGCCCCCATGCACACGCACCCCACAGCAGAGCCTCCCCTGTAGGCCACATGCGACCCCTCCCCAGCAAAGCCCCTCTTCGCTCCTGCCTCTCCCTGCTCATGTGTCTGTTATTTGTGGTCTCTTCCTCCACTCAGATAGTTGCCGAACACCCGCTAGCTAGCTCAGTTGTGGAGCGTGAGACTCTTCAATAGGCAGGCTGCGCTTGTCTTGTGCCCCGCCACCATCAGCCTTCACCAAGGCCTCCCTGACTGCTCCCACGCTAGGCCGCCGACCCCCGTGTGCCGCCTGTGGGCAGGCCTTCCCCAGGGCCCCTCACGGCCCCGGGCCTGATTCCCCTCGGTCCACTGGCAGCTGCTTCCTGACTGGAGCCCCTCTGGGACACTTGCCTGGGATCTCTCCTCACACCCAGAGCTCTCCTCACTGGTGGCCAGTGAGGTTGCCAGAGGTCCCAACACCCCTGAGCTTCGGGCCAGAGGCAGGACAGGAGAGGAAAGAGGAGAGCTTTCCTGGCCTCATGCAGCCCCACCACCCCTCTGGGCCTCTGTGAGTCTGTCAGGGAAGAGGGGGAACAGCCAGAAGAAAGAAGAGGCACGGTCCTGCCCCAGTGGGCATACGCCAGGAGTGAGCAGAATTGCAGCATCCTGACAGCTGATACTCTGCAGTACTGCAGTGGTGTGAAAGCTTAATCCATGTTGACTCTTTACTCTTCAGTGTGACTCTCGCAGATACTCCATTCTATAGAGTGATCACACTATTCTACAGAGAAGGAAACTGAAACCTAGGGACCAGAACTGGTATTTGAGCCCAGGACACTTGGCTCTTACCTCAGGACCACGAGCCACGGTGTGGTGGTGTGGTGGAGCTGGCATTTGAACTTGGGCTGCATGGCTCCTGAGGCAGGTCACCCAGCATGCCTGAGGCTTCTGAGCACCTAGAAGCCGACATGGAAGGCATCCAGAGTTCTCATCTTTCTTTGAACAGAGAGGGGAGTAGTCATAGTCCCTGATAGTCATGCACAGCCAATGTCTCCTAAAATCCTGCACCACTCACCTGCCCTTGATCTGGTGTTGCTGCTCTCTGTCTTGTATACTCGTTTTCTTGTTTCATTTTTGGCTCTGCTGTTTGAGGGCAGGGTCTGGGTCCTGCCCTGCACACAGCAGATGCTCATCAAATGTCTGTTGGATGAACCGAGAGGGTAGCACTGCTGTGCTCTGTGCCAACAGCAACCAAATGCCTCGACACCTGCTGACCTTCCAGAGCCACGAGGGAGGATGAGGAAGGTACCTCAGTAGTTGTGACTGATCTGAGGTAGACAAGACTCAGTGGAGTGTGGGCTCTGAGGTCCAAAGGGGATCCCTGAGTCTAGCAGGGGAGGCAGACACGCGAGCCACAGAAACAAGATGACAAGAAGCACCAGAAAGCAAACATGTGCACAGATCACACAGATTCAAGGAGGAAATGCCAGAAACCCTCCCTGCCCCGGCATCTGCGTGTTCCCACAAAGGGTCTCTGTTACACGTTGTCTCATTTTCTCCCAGCAACTGGTGCTGTGAGTCTTACTGTGCCTTTTATCATGGCTGCAGCTGTGGTGGGTGAGGAGGCCGGGTCGCCGGGCAGCTTGAGGGCTGCTGATTCCCAGGGAGCTAGTGCCTGCTGCGTGCCTGGCACCCTGTAGTTCTTGGTGCCGGACCACAGCAGTGTCCTGATGAACAAAGTTCCTGCCCTTCTGGCCCTTAAAACCAGGGGGTGGTGCCCAACAATGAACAAACACACAGAATATGTCAGGTTGTAACAGAGGCCACTGGGAAAACCAACGTAGCTCCACCCCTCCAGAGCACAGTTGTCCCTGCCCAACCCAAGAGGTTGAGGGAGTCCTCTTTCTCAGTCTGTAGCCTGAGGCAGCGGTTTACCCGCTAGGATGTACCCGCTAGAATGTACCCTCTAGGATGACTGAAGTTGGGAGCTGAGGTGCTGGGACAAGTCAGGCCATTTTAGGAGGCCGAGATTTGTGTCACTCAAACCTCACCAGCCAGGAGGGGAGCAGACCTCTGGGCCTCTCTGCCGTGGTCTGGGGTGCCTCTTGTGCTCCTCTTCCTGTGATCAGGAGGGAGGAGGGAGGCGGAGGCATTCCTGCTGCCTGCCTCAGGACCTCAGAGGGAGCTGGGGGAGTGGGGAGGAATGTGTGGGAGGGATGGAGTGCGCTTTGCTTGGTGGAGGGGTCACTCCTGTGTTGGGGAAATCAAGGCCACCTGGCCTGTGTTGTAGAGGGAGCATGCAGGCCGAGGAAGGGCCCCTCTGGGGTCATCACCATGGCTTGGGTCTCCCGCGGTACCCTTCTGCTCTGAGTGGCTGATTCTGGGGCTTGGGGATTTAGCACCTGCCTTTGAGGAGGTCACTCAGTCATCAGAGAAGAGCACAGATATTGGAAGGCCATTGCAGCAAATGCAGGATAGGCTGCGTGCGGGGTCACACACCAGCTCTGGGAGTCAGGAATCTGAGGCTCAGTTCAGGGCCCTTTCCAAGGGGAAGAACTCATTTCTGTGTGTCCAAAGGAGAGATTCAGAAGAGACTTCTGGCAGTTCTTACTAAGTCAGCTTACTTAGTAAGCTGTCTAAGCTTACTACCCACTAAGAGAGCAGTTGTCATCACTGCTCTCACAGCAAGCTTTCCTTGCTGGTTCTCTCAACACCAAAACTCCATCATCTGTACATCTGGTAGAATAACTTGGAGAAATTCAGTGTGTTGCTCAGTCAACATGACTGAGACCCAAGCTCTTTCTACTCAAGCAAGAAGCTTTGTGGGAATGCACTTGGGCTTCTTGAGAGATACTTTACAGCAGCAGTCCCCAACCTTTTTGGCATCAGGGACCGGTTTTGTGGAAGACAATTTTCCCACAGGCCGGGGGGAGGGGTGGGAGGGGATCATTAGGCATTAGATTCTCATAAGGAGCACACAACCTAGATCCCTCGCATGTGCAGTTTGCAGTAGGGTTCAGGCTCCTAGGAGAATCTAATGCCGTCGCTGATGGAACAGGAAGCAGAGCTCCACTTGCCCACTGCTTACCTTTCGCTATATAGCCTGGTTCCCAACAGGCCACAGACTGGTGCCGGCCCAGGGGTTGGGCACCCTTGCTTTACAGCGTCCTTGGAGTTCATACAAAAATAAAACTTCTGAGGGGTGGAGGCTGGCTCTGCAAAGGTCCACACTGCTGTAGTTTCCATAAAACCCCACATGGGCTGACACAGTAGCAGCCTCTAAGCCAAGAGAGCTGCTTCCCGAGGATTGCTGAAGATTCGGTCTGCCTCCTCCCTCTGGGTCTCTCCTCCCAGAACATAGCCCCCCCACCACCACTGTCTTCCCCAATGGTGAGTTCAGCCCAGGAAGACTCTGGCTCAGACCAGTTAGTGGTCCCATCGTGTACCGGACAGCCACTGAGCATTCGACTGGGGAAGGCTTTGGAAACTTTTTCCCATCCTCCCAGAAAAACTGTCATAAGCCCCACATTCTAGGTGAAGAAACTGGTCTTCAGAAAAGTCAACTCCCTGAGGCCACAAAGCTGGTCAGCAGGTGAGCAGGGCAGTGGGGCTATTTCCATGCCCAGCTCCCGGCCTGGCAGAGTCTGACGCCCTCCGCCATGTGTCCGCAGACCTCTCCCAGAGCTCCTCGCCACCATCGCTGCTGGACCAGCTGCAGATGGGCTGTGATGGGGCCTCATGCGGCAGCCTCAACATGGAGTGCCGGGTGTGCGGGGACAAGGCTTCAGGTTTCCACTACGGCGTCCACGCATGTGAGGGCTGCAAGGTATGAACTGTGGGGGTTAGTGACCGGCCGCTAGCCTGTGGTCACATGGTGAGTGTCTTGGTGGGTCCCTGACTGTACCCATTTTGGGGTTCTTATCCAGGAGGCAGCCAGCCTGTTGTTGGAAAGTTCCCTTGTCAGGCCTGCTCTACTGGGCGCCTGGAATGCTGACCAGCCACTCACTGGGGTGCTGTGGGTTGTGGCACCTCTCTGGGGACCAGAAAAGCAGGACAGAGTGAGGGGCTTAGACTGAGCTCTCTTTCTACCTGAGGTCAGGCTTTCCTGCACCTCAAGTCTTGAAGGGAGCATTTTGCAAAAAATAAGAACAAGATACTTCTTTTTCAAGTGATGCCTCTAGTCTTTCCTCCTAACTTTATAGCCATCAGCCGGGCTCGGTGGCTCAGTCTGTAATCCCGCGCCTTTGGGAGGCTGAGGTGAGTGGATTGCCTGAGCCCGCGGGTTCGAGACCCGCCTGGGCAGCGAGACCTCATCTCTTCAATAAATCAAAAAATCAGCCAGGCGTGGTAGCACATGCCTGTAATTCCAGCTACTTGGAAGACTGAGACGGAAGCATCGCCAGAGCCCAGCAGGTCGAGGCTGCGGTGGCCGGATGCGGCCACTGCACTCCAGTCTGGGCGACAGAGTGAGACTCCAACTCAAAACAAAACAAAACAAAACAAAACTTTATAGCCATCAAAATTTCACCATTTTATTAAACCACCACCTAGAAAATGCACAGACCCAGATACATTTATGAATAAATCAGGTTAGCCACGACACAGTTTTATGTTACCAAACTGACAAAGAAGCTTTAAGACACTAGGCATTTGAAATAAGGTGTGTTATTTAATTATTTCAGAAGTTTTAGAGTTACTTATCTTCTCCATCTGCCCTCCAAAAACACCCCCCCATTACCTCTCAGTATTAGGTGTTCTTAATCTGTGTGCACGATGGGGCCTTTTGGGAGGAGTCGGATCTCATCCTTTCCCCGGCCGGCAGGCTCTCCTCCCTGTCCTTGGCCCCTCAGCCTCTCCCTGGCTGGCGGCCTCTCCTACTCGTCCTTGGTCCCTCAGGGCTTCTTTCGCCGGACGATCCGCATGAAGCTGGAGTACGAGAAATGTGAGCGGAGCTGCAAGATCCAGAAGAAGAACCGCAACAAGTGCCAGTACTGCCGCTTCCAGAAATGCCTGGCGCTGGGCATGTCGCACAATGGTGAGTGCTGACTGGGCCAGCACAGGGGCTGCTGGCTCTGTTCCAGGGAGCACTCGGTCCAATCTGGAGGGACATGTTTAGAGAAGCGCCTGGCAGCTCTTGGGTGCTGGCTTGTTAGCCTTGCTGGTCTGGACCTTGGGTCTTGGAGCCTAAGACTTGCTGCTTTCCCCACCCTGGGGCAGTCACCACCTCTGTGCCCGAGGCTCACCCGCCAGGCCCAGAAGGGAGCTGAGAGTTGACCCCAGTTTGAATGATGCTGGGAACACCAATCCCAGAACTTCAAGCCTGGCTCAGAAGACCTGACATGGCATGAACAGCCAGGGATCCCCTCAGGAAGGTAGGCAGGAGCCAGTGAGTAACTGCATGTGTCAGTTGCCAGGAGGCCAGCCTGGGTGACAGCCTTCTCTGCTCCGTGCTCCAGGCACATGAACCAGCCTTGTCTTTAGACCCTTAGGATAGGGTAATTGCGAAGCCCACCTGCCCCTTCAGTACCCCTCTAGGTACCCCAGAGGACAGGAGAAAGCCTCTTGTTTAACTATAATGGGTAGGTTAGCTGCTTGCCCAGCATTTACCCAGGATGCCCTAACTGCCTTGCATCTTAGAGGGTAACAGGACTGAGCCTTCTGTCTGCTGCTCTTCCTGGGTGATGGGGTCTGGCGGGTCTGGGTTTGGTCCCTCCCCCTCAGTCTGTCTCTATGGATGGGGTCGGGGATTTCTAGGAGCTCCCAGGCCTGGCAGAATCTTTCTCACTGTCACTCTGAGAGAAGGCACATTTATATCCTGTTCTGTCACTAAGGACAGTTTTGAGTGCTTGCTACCTGGGAGCCTTTGTTTAACTGACCCCCAGTAAGTCTGAAGGCATGAGCTTTGTGACGAAGAAAGAAAGGTGAAGCAGCCTACCCTAAGGCACACAGCTAGTGCACTGTTGAGCTGGGACTCAGGCGCAGGCCTTTGTCACCGAAACTGTTTTGTTTTGTTTGGAGCCAGGGTCTCACTCTGTCTCTCAGGCAGGAGTACAGTGGCACGCTCACAGCTCACTACAGCCTTGACCTCCTAGGCTCAGGTGATCCTTCTGTCTCAGCCTCCTGAGTAGCTAGGACTAGAGGCACGTGCCACCATGCACAGCTAATTTTTTTTTGTTGGTAGAGAAGAGATCTGGTAATGTTGCCCAGGCTGATCTCGAACTCCCACCTCAGCTTCCCCAAGTGCTGAGATTAGAGGCATGAGCCACTGTGCCTGCCAACCAAAACTGTCTTTAACTGCTTTGGTGTACTGCCCCAAACCAGAGTAGCCCAGTCACTCAGTGAGAGCCCCTGTGTGCCGGGCATACTGCAATCAAGACAGGGTTCCTGCCCGTGTGGAGCTTGCGCTCTAGAGGAACCAACCCAGCAGTCCCACCTTGCTGACTAGAGTTTCTGGGGCCCTGGGCATCTGTAGAGGGATGGGGAACTCAGAGGTTCTGGCCCTGCCCAGTCACCTTAGTGACTGTCCGCTCCCCGTGCAGCCATCCGCTTTGGCCGGATGCCAGAGGCCGAGAAGAGGAAGCTGGTCGCAGGGCTGACAGCAAGCGAGGGGAGCCAGCACAACCCCCAGGTGGCCGACTTGAAGGCCTTCTCCAAGCACATCTACAACGCCTACCTGAAGAACTTCAACATGACCAAAAAGAAGGCCCGCAGCATCCTCACCGGCAAAGCCAGCCACACGGCGGTGAGTTCGCTGGCCTGGCCGCATCCCGGGCTCAGGCCCCACTGCCACCTGCTGGGCTCCTGGGAGTGCCGGGCCTGCCTCACTCCCCTGACTTCCTGGTGTAGGCAGGGGTGGGGGCAGCGCAGGGTGGGGTGCCCGAGGCCTGGCCGCTAATGGGGCCTGGTCTTCAGCCCTTTGTGATCCACGACATCGAGACGCTGTGGCAGGCAGAGAAGGGCCTGGTGTGGAAGCAGCTGGTGAGCGGCCTGCCCCCTTACAAGGAGATCAGCCTGCACGTCTTCTACCGCTGCCAGTGCACCACAGTTGAGACTGTGCGGGAGCTCACCGAGTTCGCCAAGAGCATCCCCAGCTTCAGTACCCTCTTCCTCAATGACCAAGTGACCCTGCTCAAATATGGTGTGCATGAGGCCATCTTCGCCATGCTGGCCTCCATCGTCAACAAGGACGGGCTGCTGGTGGCCAATGGCAGCGGCTTCGTCACCCGTGAGTTCCTGCGCAGCCTCCGCAAGCCTTTCAGTGACATCATTGAGCCCAAGTTTGAGTTTGCTGTCAAGTTCAACGCCCTGGAACTTGACGACAGTGACCTGGCCCTGTTCATTGCAGCCATCATTCTGTGCGGAGGTGAGTGGAGGTGGAGCAGGTGGGCTGACCCCAAAAGCCAGTCCTCCTGGGGATGGGCCTCACTCAGGGCACCACGCCTGAGCTGAACCACCTGGGGAGTGTCTGCGATGATGGCAGTGGCACATGCAAGACACTCAGTGGACATGAAGGATCTGCTCATCTCATTATGTATGTAGACAGAGTGGAGAGAAGAGAGAAGAAAGACTGAAACGAAAGATGCCGTCATGTTAGTGGGGGTTATTTCTGGCTGGTGGAGACATTTTCTATATTGTCCCTGCATTTTTCAAATTCTGACACAATTAATACAACAGTGGCCATGCTAGCCAGCAGTGGCATAGAGCTTCCTCCATGCCAGGCACTGTTCTGGTTCTTTGTGATAGGTTATAACTCATTTGATGCTTGCAACAACCCTGTGCAGGAAGTACTCACTCTGTCACCCAGGCTAAAGTGCAGTGACACGCTCACGGCCACCCTAGCGTCGACCTGCAGCTCTGGTGATCCTTCCACCTCAGTCTTCCAAGTAGCCAAAACTACAGGCACGCACTACCATGTCCAGCTAATTTTTTAGTTATTGTAGACGTGAGTTCTTGCCAAGTTGCTCAGGCTGGTCTTGAACCCGCGGGCTCAGGCAATCCACTTGCCTCAGCCTCCCAAAGTACTCGGATTACAGGCTGAGCCATCAAGCCCAGCGCATGATCCCCATTTTACAGATGAGGCAAATGAAGCCCAGAGAGGCTAAGTGACCTGCTGCCCATGGTCTTATTGATAGTCTGGTAAATACGGGATTTGAATCCAGGCATTGAGTGTCTCAACCATGATGCTCCACTGCCATATCCAGAAAAACGAAAACAAACTATTAGCAAAAACAAAAGAAGTGGGCCAAGACCAGGGATGGGGTACCAGGACACTCAGTGGAGCTGTCTCTAACAGGACAGGGCTTGGCTGTCATGGCCAAGGAGGCCTGCTGTCCTGGGCCAAGTCACCTCCCGGGGTGGGTAGAGGACTCCTCTGCCTTTCTGAGCCCCTGTGTGCCCTGTGTCCCCACAGACCGGCCAGGCCTCATGAATGTGCCTCAGGTAGAGGCCATCCAGGACACCATCCTGCGTGCCCTCGAGTTCCATCTGCAGGCCAACCACCCCGACGCCCAGTACCTCTTCCCCAAGCTGCTGCAGAAGATGGCCGACCTGCGGCAGCTGGTCACCGAGCACGCCCAGATGATGCAGAGGATCAAGAAGACCGAGACCGAGACCTTGCTGCACCCGCTGCTCCAAGAGATCTACAAGGACATGTACTGAGGGCTGGTGCCAGGCCTCCTGCAGGCTCCAGGGGGCCAGGGCGGGAGGGGCCCCCACGTGACTTCCCATTGACCCGCCTGTGAGCACGTGGCCTGGGCTGCGGAATCACCCTCGTGCTCAGACACACCGGCCTCTGGCTCCTGTGTTCCCTTCCACAGCTCTTCCTTCCTGTGTTTGTCATCTCCCTCATTCTCAGCTCCTCTTTCTTTCCTGATTTCTCTGTAGGTTTCCCTCTTCCTCTCTTGCCCCTGCCCTTACGTCTGTCCTCCTTTCTCGTTCTGTGAGACGTCTGTATTATTTCACCAGCAGCATAGAACAGGACCTCTGCTTTTGCACACCCCTTCCCAGGAGCAGAGGGAGCAGGGCCTGCACTCGCCCAGTCGCTGCATCTGCAGGCTCTGGGGCCTCCCTTCTGCCTCCTTTCTTCAGAGCAAAAGACTTGAGCCATCCAAAGAAACACTAAGCTCTCTGGCCCGGCTTCCCTGGGAAGCCGAGCGTGGCCTGGCCTGACTGCAGCAGCCACCTGTAGTCACGGGGTCCCTGCTGTGAAGGACAGTGGGCAGGGGGCCTGAGCCCCTCCCCCAGACTGTCACTGCCTCACTCCTGTAGCATGCCCCAGCCCCAGTGGCACCCAGCATCCTTCCAACTTCTTCACACCAGTTTTCCAGGCCAACGTTGCTGATGGCCCCCTGCGCTGGCCGCCGGGGGGGCCACACCCCAGACCTGGAAGGAGTGGGGTACCCCTGGGGGGGCCCCACTGAAGAGGAACAAGTCTCACAGGAGGGAGGTGGAGCTGGGTGCAGGGAGGGAGAGCACACTTAGTTCTTTCCTAGGACTGGGGCTTGAGTGCTGGGGGCAGAGGCCACGGAGAGCTCGGGCAGGCCCTCCATTAGCACCCCTCTCTCCCCCACCCTGCAGCAGCTGCCCTTGCGTCTGCGCGCAGTGTCAGGGCCGGCCTGACAGGACCGCCCCTCTCCTGACCTGCTCGTGGAGCCCCCCTCCCCCCGCACTCCCTGGAGCTGCCACTCCAGCTCACACGCAAGCACTGAAATCACTTTACCTGCAGGGTCTGCCCCGCCTTCGCCTCCCTGAGGCAGAGAGGGCCCAGGCTGGGCCAGGACTCTGGGTAGGTGGGGGTGGCACCTGCTCACAGCGGGCGCTGCCAGGGATGGACTGATCCCATGCATCCCGACGTCCGTCGGTCCCAGCAGCGCTGCAGCCCTCCCCTTACCTGTACTCAGCCCAGCTGGCCACCTGGACTCCTTGCACAGCCTCGGCCCCCTCGCCCCCACTCCAGGGAAGGTGCACCTGCCTGGGTGGAGGCCGAAGCTCAGCTGGGACTGCTGTGCCGGTGCCGGGCAGAGCCTCCCAACCCACAGGGGTGGGGGCTGCCCGGCGTCTCGGCAGGGTGGTAGGAGAGCTGAGGTTAGAGCCCGGCAACCTGGATCCTGTCTGGTCCTTTGTGTCAGGTGGCGGCTCTGGCGGGAAGTGCCCTGCTCTGCCCCGGGACCACACTCTACGGGCGAGACTCTCCCCCTCGCCTGGCTGACCAGGGCCTGGCTAGGCGGGCTCCCTCTTGGGGAGGCTGTGTGGGGACAGCTGCTGGCACCGACCTCCCCTCCCCCACCACGTGCCCTGTCCTCACCCCACCCACATCTGGTGCTGAGGATGTAGCTCTTCTCAGTGTCTGAACAATCTCCAAAATTGAAATGTATATTTTTGCTAGGAGCCCCAGCTTCCTGTGTTTTTAATATAAATAGTGTACACAGACTGACGAAACTTTAAATAAATGGGAATTAAATATTTAAGAGTTGATTTTAAACTGACTCAGTTCTTGGCGTGTTTTTCCTGGGACTCATCAGACTCCTCCCGCCTTCACATCCAGTGCACACAGAGGAGACAAGGCTGGCACAGGAGGCTTTGGGTGCCGACCCCTCCCCTCGTGCCCTGCTCTCCTCGTCAGTCAGCAGGGGCTGTGGAGGGCTGAAAGGATGCCATCCCTACCCTACAGAAGAGAACTTGGGATATGAGGGGGCACAGAGGCACACACGCAAAAGAGGCAGTGTGGCGCCCTGGCACTCACCAGGGTGGGGTGTGCAGGGGCTAGGAGGGACCAGGAAAACCCTGGAAGAGGCAGCTCTCCCCAGGCCTGCCTTGACTGGTACGCGGGACTCCATAAGAGATCAGGGCCTTCCTCTCCTGAGCCGACATCCCAGTGGTGCCATCTCCCAGGGTCTCCAGAAGAGCCAGACCCCCGTCAGCCGTGGCTTTGCAGCATGAGACCAGGTCAGGGTATGTAACAGGAGACGTGTCTAAGCAGGAAGACAAAACTATTGCCAAATATTTCCAAGTGGGAATTTGCTGTAGGGAATTACTGCAAAAGTGCTGAAAAGGCAACAGGGGTTCCCTATTGAGGCCATCCGGAGGTGAATAACTACAGGAAGCCTCTCGCCTCCAGGCCTGCATGGGAAACCGGCACCTTTGCTAAAGCACCCACCAACACTGCAGAGACCCAGCCTGAAGTCACCTGCCGGACTCAAGCCAGAGTTCAGGCATGCCACACACGCAGGGCTGCCAGAGTGCCTGCAGCTACCACCACGGCTGCCCCAGAACCCTCGCTGCTTAAGCAAAAAGCCTGCAGTCCGAACTCGCCTGCTCCTGCCGGAAGGCCATCAGAGGTGGAGGTGGCCGTTCTTCCTATCTTCCAGTGTGTTGCCTGTACCTTCCATTGGGGAAAAAAGAAGCCTAAATGTAATCTGGGAAACGTAGTTTGCAGATTTCCAGCCCCTGCGGTAGAGAGGAGCATGTGGCATCAGCCAAGAACCAACAGGCAGACAACTAGCATGACGTACAAACGCCAGCCCCAAGGTGAGGGATCCCAGATAGGCCCACAGCTAAGGTGATGGTCACGTGTGACACTTGCCTCTGTTTTCTTTCTTTGCTGGTCAGCTGGACAGAGCAATCTGAACTCTGTTAAGTCCCATCTCAGGAGTAGTGCCCTGATAGCTTTGCCTATGATGGAATCTTCTGGTTTACTGTTTTATTTTTCTCTCCTCCCTATCCTTTCTCACACCATCAAATGGGGTGTGGGGGGCGGGGATTGTGAAAGACAGTGACTCCATTGCTAATGGCCAGTCCAATTCCCAGCACTAAAGAGGTGAGATACAGGATACCAAGTAACTAGAGCTCACTCTGTTCAGAGTTGAAGCAAAGTCTCAGGACCAGTTTTCTACTGCTGCCTGGCTTCTAGTGCTGCAAAAAGCATCCTGTCACTCCAGCCCCTGTTGTTACTGTCAGATTACCATAGTTTACTGAGCAGATACTGCATGATGTCCACCATTCACACCTCACCTCTCATCCTCAGCACAACTCCGCCAGGACAATATTATCTCCTGCCATTTCACGGGCAAGGAAGCACAGTGAGAAATCAGGGAACGTGCCCATGGTCACTCAGCCAGGAAGAGGCATGGCCAGTGTTCCGTTACAGCCTGTGGGCCTCTGCTCTTCACCCGTGAGCAAACCTTGGGTACAAGAGTTGGTCACCTGGTCTCTTTTTAATGATGCTCAAGACAAAAGAATCAAGCATTTAAGAAAAAAAGGAGGAAAGCCGTCTTAGGAAAATGAGAAGGTACTATTTTTGCAATCTTTCTATAAACCTACAAATATTCTCAAATTGAAACTTCATTTTTTTAAAAAGGAAGGAAATAAAGAAATGATCTAGAGCTGGTAGTATCCCCAGAAATCCCAGCAGAAGCAGAGGCAGTATCCCCTTTGTAGAGGATGGGGACAGGCAGGACAGAATTCCCACACCATTACAGATAAGAAAGAAGAAGCTGCATGAAAGTCAAGAGATGCAACAACCAGTGAAAGTAGAGCCCTGGAACTTCAAAAAACACATTGACTACTGTATGGGAAATAAACTGTTTATATTATTAAAAATATAAAAAATAGCCAGGCTCGGTGGCTCAGCCTGTAATCCCATGCCTTTGGGAGGCTGAGGTGAGTGGATTGCCTGAGCCCGTGGGTTCGAGACCCGCCTGGGCAGCGAGACCTCATCTCTACAATAAATCAAAAAATCAGCCGGGCGTGGTAGCGCATGCCTGTAATTCTGGCTACTCGGAAGGCTGAGGCGGAAGGATCGCCGGAGCCCAGCAGGCGAGGCTGCAGTGGCTGGGAGCGGCCGCTGCACTCCAGTCTGGGCGACCGAGTGAGACTCCAACTCAAAAAAAAAATATATATATATATATTAAAAAAATAAGTCTGGGTACAGTGGCTCTCGCACTTTGAGAGGCTGAAGCAATAAGATCACTTGAGGCCAGAACCAGACTGGAAAGATCAGTAGAAATTATCCAGAAAATAACACAGGGAAGCCAAGATAGAGAAAACGTGGAGAGGAAGGATAGTAATAAAAATCCTTATATAATGCAGAAGGGAAAAGTTGGTTCTGCACAATCAACTGGAAAAACAATTTGGCAAAATCTGATGAAGCTGAAGATGCCATGTTCTGTCGCCTGCAGTTGTATTAAAATGTGCTGGTTGCTGGGCTCGGTGGCTCAGCCTGTAATCCCGCGACTTGGGAGGCTGAGGTGAGTGAATTGCCTGAACCTGCGGGTTCGAGACCCGCCTGGGCAACTTGGCGAGACCTCATCTCTACACTAAATCAAAAAATTAGCTGGGTGTGGTAGTGCGCGCCTGTAGCTCCGGCTTCTTGGAAGGCTGAAGCGGAAGGCTCGCTGGAGCCCAGCAGGTCGAGGCTGCGGTGGCCGGGAGCGGCCACTGCACTCCATCCAGTCTGGGCGACAGAGTAAGACTCCAACTCAAAAAAAAAAAATGTGCTGGTAGATGCTGGGGGCACCACCCAGACCCCACCCTCAGGAGCCTGCTGCCTGGAGTATTGGCGCTGAGCTCAGATGCATTTCTCTCAGTGACTACCCTAACCCAAGAAAGCTGCCTCGCCCTGGTATCCACACTCCTCCTCAGGGGCAGCCTTGTCTGCCGTGGGAGGTCGAAGGCCAAGGCTCCTTGACTCATGTGGGACAACTGGAGGGGTCGTCCAGCGGCAGAGCTGAGGCTTCTCTTCCGTTATGTGGCTGTTCAACTTCTCCCTCCACTCAGTCCTGCTTGCTTTAGCTCCTTGCAGGTGTTCCAGAGAGTTGCCCCGGCAAGTATCCTGCCGGTAAGCCTCCACATCTGTTCCCTAGGGAAGCCAACCTGAGACAATAGTCTAGAGTGAAATCCACCAAAGTGCACCAAGACTTATGTACACTTTCATCACAGCCACAGCAAAAACTTGGAAACAACCAAAAATGCTCATCAA